AGTGGTACATTTATACAAATCGGATGATCACACTCAGTAGATTATAAGCTTTGTAATGATACCTTACAAGAGACCTTTTGCATGAAGCACATCCCAGTTACGTTATATTCACTTTTTACCATATTTTTCTAAAACTATCCCAGTTACATTATATTCACTTATTATCATGTTTTTATAAAACCATATAGACTGCACAACGTCACACGCACTTACAATTCCTCATGTCTGTATATACTATCTGCAGTCCCCCTAAAAGGTATTACCTTTACTGAAATAAGTAACTACTATGCTGTTAGAGACACAGGTTTGAAGCTATGATAAGACTATAGACATCAGTCTAAAGCCAAATTATTGTGAGAACCTGTTTTGTTCAAATAAAGAGATGGAAATTTTACTGCCTATCCAAATGACTTGAGTTTAAAATGGGCTAAAAATCATGGGCTCAACCTTGCTCCCAGTAAATTCCATGCCAGAACTTCCACCCATCTGCAAAGACATACGATGGGGCACCCTTCTGAGAAGAGGGATATTACTGAGATTTTGAGCACGTGCAGTCACCACTCAATGTATTTAATTACTTCCCCACGTCCTCTTGATCCACAATAGAACCAGCAACTGAAGGCACATGTAAAAATGAAAGAAAGATGCTACCCAGGTACTTCCCAGAACTCAAGACGGGACTGTTCTACTTTTGTTCTAAAAAAGTAGATTCATGGAGCAGAGTTCTGATTTTATCCATAACAATTCCCCCTTTCCTACCTGTAAGTAACTGCTAATTGCCAAAAACTGAGTTGTGTCATACCAAGGGCGTCTTATGTACAAAGATCATCTCCATGAAGTTTGGCTTGTGTTTCAGGCAGCTACTTTACATCGAGGTCCCTGCAATTCCCCTTTTCTTCAGTGGTATTATAGCCGCTTAGTTCCTCTTCTAAATGCATCAGGTCAAATCTGGCATGGACATACACTCCATAGAGACCCATCAAAGCCAGCTGATGATTACATTTAAAAGAAAACAACAAAACAAACCCTAAATGCTATATACATTCAAACGCACCATCAGACCAGTGAATTCCAGGGAATAATTGCAATTTGTCCTCTGTCACATTTTTACCTGAGCATGTGGTTGGTTGGCTGCACACTTGGCTGTACCATAGGTGGCATTTGATCCCTTTTGCTTGAAGGTTAAATTGATATCTTTTGTTCCCATGGGGCTGTAGGAACTTTTTAGACACATTTTCTTCCCAGTCTTTACATGGCTTCTACCTGCTTGTATAATTATGCCAGCAGCACCTGTGCTGTTTAATCCCTTCCTGAAATATACTTAAAATGAATGTAGAAATAAAAGGATGCCCCTGGGTGAACAAAGCAGCAGAGAGTGTCCGCTAGTGTTCCTATGTTTGTGTTTTATAATACCCCTATGTATTAATGACAGACCAGTGCACTATACTGGTGGAATTGGGAATTTTAGAGCCACTGAACACTAAGTTCTCAGTGAATCACAATTTCCCAAATACCTGTACTAAATAACTTTGTGCTGATGCACCAGGGAAATCCACAGAACATTTCCAGCATACCTCAACTTCTCGTTTATTGCCTGTGAGGGTGCACTTTTGTCTGCAGCATAAATAAGGACAGTTGTTTGGAACTTTAAAATGGCCAGCATCAGACTGGAGAACAAAGCATCTAGAGGGGAAACAATGAGGGGTGACCTCTGAAGAGGAACCAGACAGTAATCGCTCATGCTAAAACTACTGACCACTGTCACTAGGCCACAGGGTGAATCAATTGTCTTCTTCTCTCTCATATGGAAAGAGGTTAGAACTGCTGCTGCTCCCGTGTCATGTTGTGATTCTCAAGTAGGACCAGATGCCTCTGTGCATAGGCCACCACATGTGCTGGTTTTCTGCCCTTTATGTTTGAATTTAGTATGATCTCTCAGACCACACGCCATAAATCAATGTATGTAAATTGGGCAGGTGAGACTTACCTCAACCCCCTCCTCCCTCACGCACACCAATGCCCACTACCTTTTTCTTTTGGCCTCTCTTCTCCAGCAATGGGGACTACCAAGTTCCATTTGAGAATCTATGCTTTCTTGAACACTGAGTCCCTACTAGCCAGGACTTGAATCCACAAATCAGCTGAGGCCAATCTGAGCTTGAACGTACCTATTTATTGTCTGTAAATGTATAGTAGGGTTCTCCTTGCTGACAAATGTATGAGGCTATTTTTTATCTCATTTAACACCAGAATAAAACAGAAGTAACTCTACTGACGCCAGTGGAGTTACAGGATTTAATTCCCCATTGCCTTGCACCTTGTACAGTGATTTAAACCTGTGCAATGTGAATTGCACTCGCAAGAAAAATTCCTTACTTTCTTGCACAAGCAGGTGGCATTTCACACTAATGACTGCCCAGAGTGCAGGCAATGGGGAGTCAGGCCCAGAATGTGGAAAACCAGTGTGAGATCAGAATCAAGCAGTTTCTTTATTTCTGCTTTCATATGCAGTACCTTAGACCAAAGGTTCTCAAACTGTGGTCCGAGCTCCATTCAGGTGGTCCGCGGACAGTTTCCTCTAAAGTGTACACCTGGGTGGTCGCACACGAGAGAATGAAGGGCCACGCACCTAATTAGTGGAGCTGTGCAGGCGTGGCTCCACTAATTAGGTGCTTGGACCCTGGAGAAGACACACATGTAAGGTGAGGTGGTGGGAGGAATGGGGGCAGGTAGGAGGGGGCAGTGGGGTGAGAAGAGGGGGTGGGGGGAATTTGGGACGTGCAGAGCTGCGGTGGCCAGAGAAAGAGGCAACTTTCCCCAGCTCCAGGGCTGCGGCTGCCAAGGAGAAATGGCCCTCCTTCCCAGCCTCAGCTCTGTGGCTGCTGTGGTGGAGGAGAGACCCTCCTCCTTCCTAGTTATAGCTCAGGGGCTGCCACGGTGGGGGAGAGAGAGAGAGTCCACTCTCCGCCCCCGCCTCAGCTTGGGGGCTGCTGTGGTGGGGGAAGAGACCCTCCTCCTTCCTAGTTCTAGTTCAGGGGCTGCCACGGTGCGGGGGAGAGGGAGAGACTCCCCTCCTTCCCAACCTCAGTTCGGTGGCT